GGGGAATTCTGGGAGTCGAAGTCCACATATATTAAAATGGCCGAGGTTGAGAAACACTGCTCTATGTGTTGCCTTTTTCTGTCATTTTAGCAGCTTCCCAACTTGGGGAGGGGGAGGCCTCTTAGCCCCTTTGCTCAGTCCAGCTCTTGGATCCCTTTTCCCCTCCCCGGGGGCACAGCCTCTATATCTCCCACCGTGCTTTCCAAAGACGCCCAAAATAGACTCCCGTCCGCCGTTCAGCCTGCCCCATCTGGGGCAGACTACAACTCCCATCATCCTCAGATGGCACGGCTGTTCCGTGCCGCCCCGGGAGCAGGTGTTGAGCCCTCTCTGTCCCAGAACAGACTTGAATTGACTCCCCCACCCATAAGCTGGTCTTATCTGGATAGTTTGGGGCTGGGGGCAATTTCCCCTTCCTGCTCCACGCAATGCAAGCAAGAGACCCCGGCTGACTCTCCCACTGCCCCGTTTGGAGCAAAACCTTTTGCCTCTTTTTCAAAATGGACTTCGGCGTCCCAGTTCCTTCTTGTCCAGCCTGGCTTATTTTTATTATTATTTTTATATAAAACCTGTTCGTCCTCCTCTGCCGCTGCCTCCCATCGGGCGCGCGTGTCTTTTTGAAATCGAATTAAAGATCTGCCCCATTTCGGTCTCCGTTTGCTGCCTGGAGGCGGGGGGAGCCTGACTTATGGGGGGGGTCTTGTCTTTTGGGACTGTGTCCGGAAGTGTCTGTCTATAGGGAGACCCACGGAAATTGGCTCTTGTGGGGAAGGGGTCCCTCCCCTTTAAGGCAATTTGTAAGCAGCCGCCCTTCTTCTGCTCCTATCATCCCTAGCCATGATGCTAATAAAACATTGTGGACTAGCAACTTGGGAGTGGGGAGCAGACACACTGGCCATGCCTTGCAATGGATGAGCCAGAAATTATGAAAAAGTTGAGCAGACTTAATTCCCAGCTAGCCCTGAAGTTTACTTAGTCCAGTGTTTCTCAACCTCAGCAGCTTTAAGATGGGTGGACTTCAGCTCCCAGAAT